TATATTTAAATTTCTTTCTTTTTCCTGAGGAGACTGGTGAGGCTCTGCCTCCCTTGCCTCTAGTGACTGCACGTCCCTGTTGTGAATGCCCCAACACTGGAAGTCTTTAAGAAGATGTTGGATAGCCATTTGACTGGAACGATATAGGGTTTCCTGCCTAGACAGGGGGTTGGACTAGAAGACCTGCAAGGTCCCTTCCAACTCTGCTATTTTATTGTATTGTATTAAAAATGTGCTTTGGCCCAGAAGATCATACTTCATAGAGTCTGTGGTCATTTTCTAGACTAGAGCTTTTGTTATCAAGTCTTTAAAACCAAATTAGCTTTATCTCTTCCTGGAAGGGTGTGTTTGAAGAGTGTCAAACATCATGGCAGCGTCATGTGACGTATCATGACTTTTCCCCCCCTTCACTTAACCAGGCGTGGGCATGGCCAGCACAGGGTGCATCCGGCCCATGGGCCACGAGTTTGACACCCCTGCCCTTGAGTCTATATATTCAGTTAATGATATTTATAAATCATTGCAACATTTAAAAATAAATTAGAGCTTTTTAAATTCATTTTTGCAATGTTACTATGTTCATTTCAGTGACATTTTAGGGTCATGATTATACCAAACATGCATTTTGATACCTAAACAAGGTAATGGGAGGCTGTTAAAAATGTTTTCAGAGTAACATGCAGTCTTGTGAAATAGAACTGCTGCTAAAACCTGTGGGGTGGGGGAGAACAGAAAATAACAAATTGAAAGTTAATTTTGCTTTCTATAATAAATTTTAATGAATGTCATACTAAGTTGTTATTAATCAGTTAATTCGCCACCAATGTTTCTTCACGTTTTGTGTTTTGCTTTGCTTTAGAATCTCCAGATGTGCAGGCTTTGGTCACATAGTTAAAAGTACTCATTAAAATACTCTTATCATAGTTTCAAATTTGAAATGTTCAGTGCTTTTTTATAACTGTTCTAAACAAATATGCAAAAAAATCCTGCATTGCCAAAAGTGCACATATCAGGCTTTGAAAGACTCCAGTTGGAGTTCTGCTCACAATTTTTCTGATTGTTCAAGGTTAGTGTAGATGAATCCCAAGGTTCTATATGCCTTTCTTGCAATGCTTAATCATTTGCATCCATCTTTCATTAAACAGGCCCTTTCACAGACTTAGTGGCAATTTCAACATGCCACTGCCTAAGAATTGTAACACCAGAAGAGATTACTTGGGTCATTATGTCCTACTCAGAGTAGCAATCCACATTAAAACAATACAGTAGATAGCTGTGCAGTCTGAAATAGAGACAGCCTGTCTTCTCTCTAATCTAGGGGTGTCAAACTTGTGTCGTCACAGCAGCATCATGTGATGTATCAAGACTTTCCTCCCCTTGACTAAATTGGGTGGGTATACATGCATGCATGCATGCATACATACATACATACATACATACATACATATTCTAGCGTGTTGCTGTTTTAATCTAATGAAAACTATATTAACAAATTGCAGTTGCCTTTCATGATCTTGAAGAGAAGTCAAATAACTGTTATCCCACAAAGTTCAAATTTTGATATCTGGAATTCTGTCTCTGTCTCTGTCTCTGTCTCTGTCTCTGTCTGTCTGTCTGTCTGTCTGTCTGTCTGTCTCTCTCTCTCTCTCTCTCTCTCTCTCTCTCTCTCTCTCTCTCTCTCTCTCTCTCTCTC